TGGGGCTGTGCAGGGCGCAGCCCTGCTGTGCAGGGAGCAGACGTGGTGCTGTGCAGGGAGCAGACGTGGTGCTGTGCAGGGAGCAGACGTGGTGCTGTGCAGGGAGCAGACGTGGTGCTGTGCAGGGAGCAGACGTGGTGCTGTGCAGGGAGCAGACGTGGTGCTGTGCAGGGAGCAGACGTGGTGCTGTGCAGGGAGCAGACGTGGTGCTGTGCAGGGAGCAGACGTGGTGCTGTGCAGGGAGCAGACGTGGTGCTGTGCAGGGAGCAGACGTGGTGCTGTGCAGGGAGCAGACGTGGTGCTGTGCAGGGAGCAGACGTGGTGCTGTGCAGGGAGCAGACGTGGTGCTGTGCAGGGAGCAGACGTGGTGCTGTGCAGGGCGCAGACGTGGTGCTGTGCAGGGAGCAGACGTGGTGCTGTGCAGGGCGCAGACGTGGTGCTGTGCAGGGAGCAGACCTGGTCCTGTGCAGGGAGCAGATGTGGTGCTGTGCAGGGAGCAGACGTGGTGCTGTGCAGGGCGCAGACGTGGTGCTGTGCAGGGAGCAGACGTGGTGCGGTGCAGGGAGCAGACGTGGTGCTGTGCAGGGAGCAGGCAGCGGCGGTGCTGCAGCAGCTCTGCAGATGCTGCGGCTCTGCGGAATCAGGGTTGATCCTCCCAGTGGGGCAGAGGCAGGAACAAACCCCAGCATGAGGCGCCTTCTGATCCCAGCCACACGCTCCCTGCCTGACTTCGGAGCTCAGTAAAAACCAGGGGCGTTGGGAGCAGAGCTGGACCCACCGGCATCCAGATGGGTGCCCCCAGCCTGTGCCTTGCTGAGCACCTTCCCCACAGCTTAATCCCAAACTCCTTTTACAGGTGGGAAACTGGGATACCCGTCTGTGAGGAGACAGCATTGAAGTAATTCCACAGGAACAGGGAGCAGAGAGGAGGAACTGAGACCATCACACTCCAGTGCTCCCCAGGGACACTAAGCCAGGTTGGACACAGGGGCTTGGAGCAACCTGCTCTAGTGGAAGGTGTCCCTGCCCGGGGCACGGTTGGGACTGGAGGAGCTTTAAGGTCCCTTCTACCCAAACCAGTCTGAGACTCCATGGTTCCAATAGATCCATCCACTGCCAGAGGTGGAGCTGGTGGTTTCGGTGCTCCCACCTCCAAGCATGAGCAATGAAAGCTCCTCATGGTGGTACAACCCTTCTCCAGTGACCTCTCACCATCCAGTTGTTCCCATGTCACTAACTCCAGCACATCCCCAGTCCTGAAACAGGATGTTCCAAGTTCCTTGTCTGTCAAATTTCCCAACCAATTTATTGAATCACAGAATCAACCAGGTTGGAAAAGCCCTTTCAGCTCATCCAGTCCAACCATTCCCAGCCCTGCCAAGGCCACCACTGACCCCTGGCACTGAGGCCTCGGCTCCACGGGCTGCGAACACTTGCAGGGACGGTGACTCCAGCCCTGCCCTGGGCAGCCTGTTCCAATGCCTGAGCAGCCTCTGGGCAAGGAATTGTTCCTCAGCTCCAGCTAAACCTGCCCCGGGGCAGCTTGAGGCCGGTTCCTCTGGTCCCATCCCTTGTTCCTTGGGAGCAGAGACCAGCCCCCTCCTGCCTCCATCCTCCTGTCAGGCACTTGCAGAGAGCGATCAGGTCCCCCCTGAGCCTTCAAAGAGAAGGACTTGATGGTCCTTTCAGTAAGAGAAGAGCTTGAACAAGTGACAGAGGTTAAGGGTGCCAGTGTCACCACCACCAGTTAATTCCCCTTAAGGAAACACTAGATAAGGGTAAGTCCACCCACGAGTATCTGTTCCTGGTACTCACCTCCCCATCCCTGCAGACCTCCTCTGCCATCTCCAGCAGGATGGAGGCTTAAGGAAGATACTCCTCAAGGCAGATGGTGTTGGTCCAGAAGCCAAGGCAGTGGTGAGTCTGCACAACACACCTGGATCACGTTTGCAAAAGGGAAGGGAGGAAAGCAGCTGGATTTCAGGAGCGAGCTCTCCATCCGCATCCTTGATTCCACTCATCAGGCGCTGGAAACAACGGCAGAGACACCGGGTGGAACTGTTGGAACAAGCACACAACCCCACCAGCTTTCCTTCAAAACCCCCTCCCCAAAACCTTCCTTTTGCCCTTAAAACCACCTCCTGCAGCACTTCAACGCCCCAAAGCAGCAGCAAGCAGCAGGAACCTGATGCCCTGTGCCCCACACTGAGCTGGGATGGACTTAGAGAAGAGACCCAGAGCTTTCCAATGAGACAGGTATTTATTTAGTTCAAGCGCTAAGGAACTTGGTTGTCGTCGTTGTTTCATTTATCAAACAGAGCTGAGGTACCAGTGACATTCCAACATGAAGAAAAGGAACCTTTTTTTCCCCTTATACAATTTCTTCAACTACTTGTTATCAAGACAAAAAGTGAGTAATGGAATAGCTGCGTCATGGACTGTACAAGGATCAAGCCAGAGTGGGGAGGAGAAAAGAAACAGAGCAGAAACCTTCACTGTTCACAAAGGCAGCAGCAAGAAAAGGCTGTTCCTGTGGTTCCACCACGTCCATGGAGCAAAATCAACTTCAAACCTAAACCCTGATGAACGGATGGCACGAGGAATTACGGTGCAAAAGAAAACCAACCAGGCTGAGTTGCTGCTGTGCTCATGTTGGAAGTGGTTTTCCCTCTGGAAAAGTGGGATTGGGAGAGGATGGAGGCCTGTCGTCACGTTAAGCACTGTCAGCAAGGATGGTGCTGGATGTACCTGCCTGTCCTGAGCAGACCTCAGGGTCTCCTGGGGGAGAAGGGCCGAACAACGGCGGCTCCTCCTTGTTCCTGGGCTGAACACAAGCTCGTGGCCACGGCTCCTTCATGGAATCATGGAATCAAGAAGCCTTTTTCTATAGAGCAAAATATAACAGGTCCACTGGACAAACCTGCTCCTGGCCACGCAGCCAGGAGACTCTTCAAGCAGCTCCACTAAGCGCAGCCGAGCTGCTCATCACTGGGATGTGCTAAGCCAGCTCCTTGCAAATCCAGTGCTTAAAGCTTGGAACGATGGCAAACGGAGGGGTTTGGTTCTGGCAGAACCAAACCCAAGGATGCGCTTGTGGAAAATGAGGACCAACCAATGGAAGCTGCATGAAGAACCAAAGGAAAAAGAAACCCCCAAAGGAAACCAAAGCGAAAAAGAAGCCGCGAAACGAACGGGTTTGGCACAGCTGAGCCCAGTACAACACAGGAAAAGCAGCCAGGTTTCCTTCCCCCCAGGAGTTCTCTTGTGAAAGAAAGAATGCTCCTTTGTCACATATCATTGATGTTTATTTCAAGACATGCCACGTCAAAAAAAAACTCGCCTTTAATATTGCATTATAAAAGCACTTTACATCTCAATTCTGCCTTTTAAGTTATTATTGTGCAGAGCCGCTAGAAACCCAGGGCAGGGCACGAGCCTAACATTCCCTTCAGGAATGAAGAATTCCATGTTTCCTACCCCGTTTCCTGGTGAAAGTGGTGGTGAGGACGATTCCCTTTTCTCTTTCCCCAGTTGGTTATCTTTAAGCTGGTTAAAGGGGCAGAAGAGAACAAAGAAGGAGCCTGAATATTCACTTGCAATTGTCGGGCTTGAAGGTAGCAATCGCAACACAGACTCAAGAATTCCTTCCTGCACTTGTAACTCAGCCAGATTGGCCCCAGCAAACAAATGTATTTACAGTTGTGGTTTTAGTAACTTACACAGCAACTTCACAATGACTAGTAAAGATTACAAGGGTGCACTTCTAGTGTGTGTTGGACTCTGTGTTTCTCGGGTAGCTACATCTCGCAAACATCAGCAAAGCTCTAAAACAGATTCCTCGGCGAAACGAGACAGAAAAGGAGTAAAAAACTGAAGCAAAGAAATAAATATCCAAGGGGAAAAAAAAAAAAGGTTATTTGTAAGCCTAAGGAAATAGGACATGATATTCAGAAGTATTGACCCAAACTATACAGCTCTAATGAACCAAACTAAAGCAAACTTGGAAGACTGAACGTAAAAAAAAAAAGCTAAAAAATTAAAGGCATAAATCTGGATAATCAAAGTTGGTTTCCATCCTATTCAACTCCCTTCCCTTCCATCTAAGAGCTCTCAACTAGATAGCTTAGGAAATGCCCCTTCCCCTGCCGACCTAGCATAATCCTATGGGAAAGGGGTGCAGTAATGCCCCCTTCTGCCTCCTCTCTGTCCCGGCCGGGGACTGGTCTGTTACCGCAGCCTCTCGCCGGGTGATCCACCTGCTCCTTCCTCATTAAAAATCAATTTGAAAGGTTTCACCCCATTCCAGCAGTGCCAGTCCTGAATTCACTTCCTACTTCCCCTACAATGAAAAAGAATAAAGAATTCAAACACTCTCTCCTCCAGACTGAACCGTTCTGTTCCCATCTCTTGGGCAGCACTAAGTCATCGGTGTCCTACGTCAAAAGGAAAACCAAAATGCTCTTAAAACTCATCCTGCATTCCAAATGTGATTTCCCTGTTTCCTGCAAGTGTTTTGCTAACGCACATCCACTCTTTAAAAAACTTCCCCCCCAGGACCTCCAGAAGCCATTCAGCCCATTCCCAAAGACGCTTTGTGTGTTCTCCAGATGCTTTCTTGGAACTGTGTTCACGTTGCCTCTGCGAGCTCAAAAATCCTTTGGTGGTGTTGAAACCCCCCTTTAAGGTTGGTTCCCAATTGGGGGGCGGGGGGTTTGAAAACCAGAAAATCTCTGCTTAAAAGATTTAAGAGCTTGGGTTTAATGCTTTTATTATTATTATTATAAGGATAAGGATTTAACCCTCCTGTTGCATTCCTGACTGCTAAGTCATTGCCAGGTTGTTAAAGAGAAATCAAACGGGTTTGAGATTCCCAAACGTTCTTCTGCACGTACATCTCCTCTAAGTCCAACGCCAAACTTCCTCAGTTGCCATCATTTCAAAGTGCAATATCATAACATATTAAAAAAGGAACAAATATTAAGAAATTGTACCTATTTTTTTGTGGGTTTTTTAAAGTTATAACTAGAATATGCTGGAATATTTTGGCTTTTTTTTGTTTTTTCTTATAAATAATGAAGACACTGACATTTTTCTGTGTGTGTGTGTGCTTGTGAAGCTAAGAGATCATCTCCACGAGACAGCCAGCGATGATGAACTGCAATACGTTATTACTGAAAGGGGAAGGTTCAAGCCAATATTCACACTGCAGTCAATGAAGAGTAAAGGGAGGGAAAGCAGTGATGTTCTGGAGCAAGGTAGAAGCCACATGGTATTAGCAGGAACAGCCTCCTTCACTGACAGGCTGCTCTTGAGGCTTTTCCAGTTTTATGTCAATCACTGGAGGAGGTAAGTTAAGGAAAACAGATTCCCAACTCTTTTCCCAGCCCAGCTCAGGTGGAGCTGGATGTTGACTGGCTTTTTCAGTTTGTATTTCTCACCAAAAGCAGAGAATCTCAGACTGGTTTTGGTTGGAAAGGACCTTAAGATCATCCAGCCCCAACCCCTGCCCCAGGCACGCCCCCGGCCGGGCACCCCTTCCACTAGAGCAGGTTGCTCCAAGCCCCTGTGTCCAGCCTGGCCTTGAACACTGCCAGGGACGGGGCATTCACCGTTTCTTTATGAAAACACTTTCCAAGTAGTCACATACTTGTAAAGTCTTTTAAGAAGCTCTTTAAAAGACAGCTCCAAGCTGAAGCCAAGGTACAGGTGCTTGGCACATTCTTAAGCAGGTAACAGAAATCAGGTCAGACCCCAAATGCTGACGGAAGACCTGGAGAGGGGCTTTGGACAAGGGATGGAGGGACAGGACAAGGGGAATGGCTTGAACCTGCCAGAGGGGAGATTGAGATGAGCTCTGAGGCAGAAGCTCTTCCCTGGGAGGGTGCTGAGGCGCTGGCACAGGG